CGGGGATCCAAATTTGGCCCAGGGACTTTGCCTAGGGGTGAAGTTATTTTCTTAAGGAGGAAGTTGTTCCACCCGGCCAACCCTTCGTCGGGAGAATGCGGCTGGAGTGGGGACCCGTTCAGGCTGAGTGAAGAGAACACGGGAGCAGGGACAGAGGACGCGGGCGGGGGGGGAGTGGCCCCGGCCAGGGCGATTCGGGCGAAGGCGGCGAGGGCGGCGGCGCAGAGGCGGCGGCGAGAGGCGGCGGCGAGAGGAGGCGGTGGAGAGGCGTCGGCAGGGCGTCGGTGAGGCACAGGCGGGCAGCCGCTGCTGTCGGCCGGGCGCCTGCACTCCGACGTACGAGCGCTGCACGTCCACCTTGATGAGCTTGAGGCGGCCCTCGTACTCGCGCGCAAGCTGCTTGAAGATGGGCGCCATCATGATGCACGGCCCGCACGTCTGCCTGCGGCCGCGAGGGGGCGAGGCACACGCTCGGCCGCGTGCGGTCCGTGCTGCCCCGGTGCAAACAGAGGCGGCGGCGCACGAGTAAAAGTCGACGACGACGGCAGGGTTGTCGGAGAGAATCTTCTTGAACTGCGCCTCGGAGGTCACCTCCTCGACGCCGGCAGCGGCCGCCAAGGGCAGCAGCAGAGCAGCGACCACACGCCACGACATCGCCGCCGCCTTGGAACCCCTCTCTGGATGCTGAACACTGGAAGACAGCGAAGCGCGGATTTTTCTTTTGCTACACTCGGTTGCTTAAGGTGGTAGCAAACCCTTGGCGCACGCATATCTTGGATGGCCGGCATGGGGCCTGAGGCGTCGCCCATGCTTGCCATGTGCGAGTAGATGGTAGAATGCACTAATAGGCACGTCGCGCAAGGTCGGGATCGCAAGTTATGCCCCCATCAAGCGCCAGTTCAGAGTCGTCCAGAGCCGTGGCACACACGCCGTGGCAGGCCGTGTAGCCACTGAGATGGCCTTATGACGACCCCATTTCGACATCGTCCCCAAGGCCTCTACTCATGAGCTCCACGCGGGAATGACTGGCTCAACCAACTGATCACAAATTCCCACGATATCTCACAAAGCGCCAAAATTCTCCCTCGTGACAGCATAATTCGACGACTCTGATGTTGCAGAGAGAATTCGTGATCAGCCGCCTGAGCCAATCATTCCCGCATGGACGCATAAGGCCATCTGAGCAACCGCGCCGTCCGCCGTCCAGCACAATCGCGCCAGGGTGGCGAGCGCCGCACACAGCACTGCTCGTGCCGGTCAAGAGAGACGCGCCGGTCACAAGCACATCTAGCGCGTCCTTTGATGCTGTCTGTCGGTCCCGGGTAGCCTCGGGCGCCAAGGGCGAGCTCAGGCGCGACAGAGAGCGCGGAACGTCGACTGGCGCGAAACTTTCGCGGCAAGAGATTGCTACCACCTTAAGACATAAGAAACCCTACCACGCGATTTCCGCAAAAATCTAAGAAACCACGGCGCGCCGCAGGCGCGCCCCGAGAAAAGGCCAGATACGAGTGTGAACGGGAGCCCCAGCTGCAGCTCAAAATTTCTCTTCGCCTGCGGCGCGCGCACTTGAGAGAGAGAGATTATAGAAAACCAACG